GGGGGCCGCGGTGCACGCCTCGTCGGCTCACTAATCAGAATGGGAAACTCCCGAGATTGGAATATACGAAGGAACCTGCACTTGTCATCGGGGGACGGGTGTTCTCTCCACACAGAGCACGCATGCACACACACGGGGCCCCGGGCCGGACTGAACAGCCTGTCAGCGAGGGCCCAAGATGCAGGATCATCCGGGAACCTGCACGGGCTCCTCAGCTGGGGTCCTGACCAGCCTGCAGGGAGGGGAGGGGAGGGGAGCCCATACCGATGCCCCTGGCTACCCGCTGACTGATGGGACCACGGAACTGAGGCACCAGGACGAAGCATCTCCTCGGTGGGTGACCTCGACACCTAAAACCCCGATGACGTTGTTCCATGGGGACAGTGGCCAAAATGTGCCACCGAACCCCAACCTGTCCATACTTAGCCAAGAACAAAGAATCCCAAATGTGAAATTTCCACCTAGGCCTCAAGGCACGGAGCAGAGGCAAGAGGCTCAGAAGGGCCCGGAAGACCTCGCCTCTCTCAGCAGGTCACCGTGTGGGACAGCCCAGGGCGGGTGGCCCCTGGCGGCATCATCTGCCCCTGGTACGTCGGCACCTCGGACGCCCCAAGTTATACCAAATGAAAATAACTGCCTCTTGGGGTCTGAGAGGCATGACTTGTGCCTCCCCAAGCCCAGGGCCGGGCTGGCCAAAGTGGCCGGTAGCTGCAGTGTCTGCCCAGGGGTCAGGGTGGCCTGGGGGGGTCCTGCCCACGCAGACGTGGCACGAGAGCGTGAAGAGAGAACATGGCTGTGCCGAGCGTCACTCAGAGCGGAGCCAAGACTCACAGAACCCGCCCAAGCCGGGCGCAAGCCCACGGACTCACTCCCGTCCCGGAGGATGACAGGACGACAGGACGACAGCAGGGAGCGCCGGGGCCGCCTGCCCGGCAGCCCTGGCGCCACGTCTGAGGTGGCCTAGCAGGGCAGCCGTGGAAGTCACCGTGGGGCAGGGCTCGGCATCAAGGTCCTGTGGACGTATTCGTTCAGAGCGGCAAAACCCACTCAGAATAACCCAACTGCCGAAGAGAGAAGAGAGAAACACGGCGTTCACGGTGTTTGTGGAACGTTCTACAGCAGCCAGCATGTGCACTCGCTGCGGGGGACCGTACGGGGGCATCCTCCTAAGGTACAAATCCATCCTCCCAGAGCCCCGCCTCTTCCAAGCCCCCAGCAGCCTCATCTGTGCCCCCTTGCACTTGTGCGTGCGTCCCCTGCTCCTGTCCTCTGCTCCCGGGTTGCAGCTCAACGCCAGCCCCTGGTCACCCCCCCTCCGTGGCCCCGGAGGCCGCACACCTTATCCACCCCTCGGGGATGCTGTGATCTCCAGCCCCGCCTGCACCCTCCCCACAACACACACACAGGCACGGGGTCGGGAGGTCTGCAACACCCCAAGAACGAAGACCTCAAACGCTTCCAGGAGAAGAAACACAAAACACCCTAAACTAATACCCTGCATCGAAGAAAGCAACAGAGCAACGCTGGGAGTCACAGGACCCAGAGGCAAGACCACATCCCACCTGCAGTTCTAAGTCAGCCTAGCCTTTCACCAAGTAGAGACACAGATGCAGACAGATGAGGGCTCAGGTACTTCCCCACGTACGCACCGAGCATCCCCCAACTGAGGGAGAAACAGGACCCAGAGCACACAGTCCTGGGACTGGGAAAGGGACGCCTGGTGCCCAGGGGGGGTGCGGGCGGGAGGGGTCCGAGCGAGTGGTAAGATGGGGCTGGGGGGGGGCGCGCTCCCAAGGGGAAGAAACAGCTGGACTAACCAGGACCATGTCCAAGGGTCTGCGGATGAATCAGCAGGAGCACACCGAGAACGAAGCAAATGAAGACAAAAGCAAAGATAAAAATCATAGCCAGGATCACAATAGTGATAAAAACCCGTGAAGAAAAAAATCAATCAACTGGACTTCACTAAAATCAAACACGTTTGTTCCTCTAGAAACACCGGTCCAGAAATGAAAGGCCAACGAGACTGGGAGAAACCGTCTGGGAGATGCACACCTGACGGAGCGCTCCTACCTGGAACACGGAGAATTCCTACAACTCCATCACGGGACAAAAACCCCACCGAGAGAAGAGAAGGATGTGAACACACACCCAGCCAAGGAAGGGAAACGGGCACACGAAAAGATGCTCAGCGTGCCGCTGGTTCACGAGCAAGATGCAAATCTGGAAACGCCCAACTGGAAACAGCCCAGACGTCGCTCAGCAGAAGGCAGAACAAGCCGGCGCCCCCACCCAGCGGGAAGCCCTTGGCGCCGAGGCGTGAGGGACCACTGGCATGCGCAGAGACGCGGCTGACTCTCACGATAATTTTGCAGATAAAAGCAGCCAGGCCAAAATCAGCGAACGGCACACACCACACGAGTCCACCAACACCTAAGGCCAGCGAACACATGCTAACTTCCTGGGCAGAAAGAAGCCAGACTCCAAGGTCATGACGGGTCACCGCCCGATGTCCAGAGCCACTAAAGGCACAGAGGGGACAGCGGCTGAGTGGCCGCTGGGGGCTGGAGGAAGGGCCCCTGGGCTCCAGGTCCCCAGGCTGGAGTGGGTGACGGTCGAGCTTCGGAGCCAGACGCTGGCTGGCTGTGCAGGCCTGTGACTGTGCTGGAAACCAGCGGACTGTCCACTCGCAACAGGCGAGTTTCCGGCACGTGGATCACGTCTCACTCAAGCCATTACCAGAAGAAGAGATCTGCCTGCAGGAGCAGGGCTGACACCAGACGAAATCCCCACGGGTTGTGCTCCTGGCTCCTGACACACAGCCCCGAAATCCCTCGGGAGCCCCTGAGTGATAGGAGCGTCTTTCGTCCTAATGTGGCAACTCTGGGTGGGCTCCCAGATGGGGCTGGTCTCCAGGAAGACCCCTGACGACCAGAAGCTGGACTTTCAGCCACACCCCATCCTCCAGGGACAAGAGGGGCTGGAGACTGAGGCACTGACCGTGCCCACGGGACGAAGCCTCCACAAAAATGCCTAAACCACGGGGTTCAGAGAGCTTCCAGGTGGGGAACACACCCACCTGCTGGGGGGGTGCCCCAGCTCTGCGGGGACAGAAGTACCTGAGCTCGGGATCCTCCCAGATCCCACCCTATGTTTCTGTCTGGCTGTTCAACTGTATCCTTTGTTGTACCCTTCCGAATAAACTGGTCAACGTAAGTAAGCGTTCCCCTGAGAGGTGCGAGCTGTTCTCGCAAATCATCCAACCTGAGAAGGGCTCACGGGAACCCCTGACTCGTAGCCAAGTCCAACAGAAGTGTGGCTCGCTAGGGATGCGCTGTTGCAGGTGGATGGTGTCAGAGCAGGCCCGACCTGTGGGTGCTCAGAGAACGGGAGAACTGGCTGACCAAGGGAGCCCCACGTTTGTGGCCAGAGCGCGTGGTGAGAGGACACGGATCTCAGCTGCCTGGCACCTCGCTGCCGCCTCTGTGGACACAAAGGAGACTTCCACCGGGTGCCGGACCCCACGCTCCACGTAAGCTCAGGACAGAGTCCAAAAACCCACAGAAGCAAACTGGAAGCTCCCCGATTCCAGCCGGAGCCGGGCCGAGCCCCCGGAGCCATGAGGGGCCGTCCCTCCCCCGGCGTGCTCCCTGTCTCACTGCCCGGCTCCGTGACACAAGGCCACCCAGCCGCTCGCCGGGCCTGCGGTAGGGCAGCAGCCTGGACTCCACCACCAGGAAGCCCTGGGACCTCACCGCAGTTTCGCACACACCCACCTTCATCCTGGGGCCACACAGACGCGCATTTTCCCGCGGGCAGACCCTTGCCGTTCTGTGAGTGTGACCACCGGGCCTGGTCCCTACAGCAGCCACGTGACTGACCACCACAGTAAAATGCCCCTTTCGCAGATAGGAGCCTGTGTGCAAACTCACGCGGGTCATGCACAACACTGACTCCCCTCCGAGGGGGTTGGGACCCAGACCGTGCCCTCAAGAGCTGTAGCCAGGAGGCCCAACAGTACCGGGCAGGCCCTCGTGTGGCCTCGGAGCCCCAGGGCCGGCTGGTCCACAGGCACCCCTTGTCACAGAGGAGTGCAGGTCTCCGAAGCCTGAGTGTCCCGCACATCTCCAGAGAGGCCGCGCCTGCACCCCTCACCCCCTCAGCACCCCTCAGTCCCTCCGCGTCCTCCCGCCTCTGCCAGGGGCAGGTCAGCTCGGTGACCGTGGAGGCCAGACGGCTTCCCTCCAGAGCTAGGGAGCAGCACAGCCTTTGGGACGCTGGACGAAAGCCCGCCCGCCACCCATGTAAGCAGAGCCCAGCCTGCGTGCAGGGTCTGGCCCTGGTCACGCGCTCCGCCCAGCCTGTTGCCCCCAGCCCCAGAAGTCTCCATAGCTGCATCTGTCACCCAGCGCCCCACAGCTGCTGGCATGCCCAGGGCCTCTGGGCACACGAGGGAGCCCTTCCCGCTTCCTTCTGTGCACCTGGCTTAGGAGCGACGTGAACTCACGGTATAAAATTTGCAGAACAGCGAAAGCAGAGAGAGAATGACCCATCCCAAGAGCTCCACCTGCTACGCTCCCGGGCCTTTCCCTCAGTTGATCGTGTGATACGCACGCACGCCGCGTGTCCCTTCACAAAACCAGGTCACCCTGCGCGAGGAGTTGGCGTCCCGTCTCCCTGTAATACCAGGAATGCTCCCCATCGCCTCGGCCCTGCTTCCACACGGCGCCCCACACCAGCCAGCGGATCTGCCCGTGTCCTCACCCGACGCTGCGCTTCTCGGGGGGCCGACCCACCAGCGTGCACTCTGAGCAGCACTCACGTGCAGCCGGGTGCCCTCGCCAGCTCTGAGGGTCACGGTCTCTCAGAAAAGCTTCTTGTTTGACGAGAACCTGATCCCCAGTGGAAGTAGGACCAGACACAGGCCAGGACCCCAGCCCCGCCCGGGCATACGTGAGGGCCTGGCGGCCATCTGGGGTCTCCGCTGCGTCGGGGTCTTACCGAGTTCTTTGGAGCCCTGGCTCTCGCTGGCTAGCTCACCCATCTTCACAAGGGCATCAAAATAGCCTTTGGCAGCGTAGGTCACACCTGGGAGAGGAGAGAGGGGCGGTTACTGCCCGTCCAATGGACGGACGAGACCCTCGGCGCCCACACAGGGGTCGCGGTGCATACCAGCCCCCCACGGAGCTCCGCGGCCCTCCCGCCTGGGCTGAGTGCTCCCCATTTCCGGCTGATGTCCTTCTCTCATTGCGATTGTGAGAGCTGCTTTTCTTTCCAAGAACGTGGTGCCCGGTCAGGCCCAGGGCTCTTCGAGGCAAACTGCTGGGTGCTGTCACCAGCGCCCGGATCTGGTGAGGGGTGGCAGGGCCCACCAAGTACATGAGACGAGACCCCACCAGGCAGGAGGCAGCACGAAGCCGTGCGCACAGAGACCCCCTGCCAGCTGCGGACAGACAGTGCCCCTCACCTCTCCAAGCTGAGGCCACGTCAAGGGCCTGCCCCATGGCAACTGCGGCCGCACTCAATGTGCACCTGGCACCCCAGGGAAGAGCCCTGTGCCCGCTGACCCTGGGCGAGCCCGCAAACACCTCGTCTGCGCGGGGGCCCGCCCACCCTACAGTCTTGGGGGGAGGACAGGGCCAGCCACAGGACAGCAACAGCTGATCCGCTCCCTCCAGAACCCAGGCCGGGGCGTCTAACTGGGCACGTCATCACATTTTATTTAGGTGGCTTCCAATGAAGCGCATGCCCAGGAGCGCGCCCTCGGCGCCTCCACCGGCTGGACTGCGTCGGCTGCCAGGAGGGGTGGGCTCCTTAAAGCTGATCAAAGCCAAGCCTGGCACAAGGGTGGCATGGGGGAGGCCAAATGCAGCTGAGGGGATGGTGCTAACGTGGCCGGCTGGGCTCGGTGCCACAGGCCAGTCCGGAAAAACGGGCAGCAGAAGAGCCCGGATTCTCCACACACAGCCCCCCGAGAGCCTCATGGGGATCTGCAGTGGGTGTAGAAAGGCCTGGAAGGAAACCTGGCCTCACATCAAAGGGGAAACCAGGACTGCCTGGGGGTGAGGTGACGTCCCCCCATGAGGAAGCCAGGTGAGGGTGAGAAGAGTCCTACGGACGGCGGCTCCAGAGAGGGACCACGTGCAAAGCCCCACGTGCGTGGTGCGCAGAAGTCAGCCCCAGCCAGGGAGAGATGAGAGCCCGGTCCTGCCCCACGGGCACAGCGAGGGGCTTTGCTCGGAGGACCCGAGGCCCAGGCCCCGTCCTCTTGCCTCTTCTCTCCACCAGCCTGCAGACCGGGTGCCCGTCCTGCTCGCAGAGTGTCTCGGGGCAGTAGACCTGACAGGGGACGTTCGCCCGGAGGCCGAGCTGGCTCTCAGCTCCTGGCAGGCACAGAGATCATCACCATGGCCTGGGACCTGCCGTTATCTTTAAGACCCTACAGGCAGGGTTTCAGCTTGAGGAAGGGACAGAACCTTCTGAGGAGCAGCTGTGCCTCCTCTCTTGCGGGGGACTGGCGGGCTCCCGGGGCAGCGTCCCTCTGTGCAGGGCTGCGGGGCAGGGGCAGGGTGGAGGGAGGGCAGCTCGGGAGAGCCTGCGGGTGCAGAACGCGGTGTGTGCCCCCAAACCAGAAGGCAGCGCAAGGCCCCTCCCCTCCACACCCATGTGGAAACAGGGAGACGGCCAGGGGCTGCTGGTCAGTGCCATCGACCCCAACACAGAGGAACAGAGGAGCCCTGCCCACACTCTTGGCTGGATCTGTGCGTGACATCAAGACCACTCTCCTTCAAAAGGGTCAGGGTGCACCCGCACCCCCTGGGGGAAGGGCCAAGGCCGTGGTGCAGAGCTACGTGGTAGACTGGCGTATGACCGGATGTCCTCCCTGTCCCCGAGACATGGCAGGTGGGCGGACTGTGGCCAGACACCTCCAGCCGCAGACCAGCAGGGCCGCTGTCCAGGAACAGGCCGGTTCCGCCGGGTGCTCTGTCCCCAGGCGACCACGGAGACTGCCCAGCGCTGCCCTCTCCTTGCTGCCTCTAACCTGAAGCCCACCCAGAGCAGTCCCCATGGGGCCGTGGACACGCCAGGGCAGCTGTCAGAGGCTGGGGTACGCTCTACAGACAGAGCCTCCCTGCTGGGCGCCGCAGCTCGAGCGAAAGCCTGACACCTACCCTGGAGGGACACAGGCAAGGGTGGGAGCCCAGCATGGGTCCCCGAGAACCGGGCGTCCCTGACCGCAGCGTGACTCAGCCGCCCCTGCTGGGAAGGAAGGGCCCGGCCACGGCCACAGCCTTTGCTGGTACGCACGTCCCCTCCCTGAACGAGCCCGTGCCCCCAGCACCCTGAGTCCCGGCTCTCCGTGAGGTGCAGGGCGCGCACCTGCCAGGGAGCCGTGCAGGCCCCAGCCCCAAGCCCCATCCTGCAGCTTCAAGACGAAGGTTCTGAGGACAGACATCCATGCCCACCGTCTTTAGGTGCTGCGGGTGGACACTGAGCCCAGACCCCAGGACAAGGCCGCAGACAACAGTGGGTGCAGATTCCAGGGCTCCCAGGCCTCCGAGGTGCGGCCCCACACCCTCCCTCCTTCCATTCTAATCTGGCTCCGCGAGCTGGCCGCCTGCTGCGAGGGCGTTGCTCCCACCCCGCGGCCTTACCTGCCAGAGCTTTCTCATAGTTCTTCCCCATGGCAATGAAGTTCCGGAGGCTGGGGTTGAACTGCTCCATGATGGTCTGAGAAAAGCAAGAAGAGAAAGGGCATGAGTGACCCAGGTGGCCTGGGGACCCTGGGAGTGTTCCAACAGGAGGAGAAAATCCACAGGTGGAGACCATGAAGCCGCAGTCAGGCTTCTGGAGTCCAGACCCCAGCCCCACCCTCGGGCAGACCCCCCGAGCCTCGGTTTTCGCCTCCATGCGATGGCGACAAGGACGGAGCAGCGCGTTGGGGCTTTGCGGATCCAACAAGAGAATACAGAGTGTGCCGTGTGCTTGCTGTATAATTAGCGCTCAGAAGTGCCGTCTGCGGAGCTGAGTCAGCTGAGGAAAACCCTCCTGCCGGCCACACACAGCCGCACGGCGCGGCCCAGGCCCCCTCCCATGGAAGTCTTCACTCAACACATCAATTACCAAACATCATCTCTGATTAGCAGGACCCACAGCCTGATCTGCAAACACCACGCTATGAATAATCCAGCAGGCCGGGTCTGTTTGCCCAATGGACTGCAGTTGCGCATCGGAAGAAATTAGATTTTCACCGCCAAGACCAAATAAAGGTTTTAATTACAAGGCGTAAAAACAGGCGCACGAACACCAGCAGAACGCGAGTTCCACCGGGCAGCAAGCGCGGCCCGCCGACAGCCAGCCCGGCCATCAAGGACGCTGCAGGAACTTTCAAAGAAAACCCGTCTCGGCCACATCCTATGTGTGCAAGTCCACAATTACAACGGGCGTCTGTCTGATCTTTCCTGAGGATAAGAGAGAACAGGCGGCCAGAGGGGAAACCGCCTGACCCTGCCCCAGATGCTCCTCTGTGAACCGAGGCTGGGCATCCTCACCCCCGAGCCCCGATCTGTGCCCAGCTCTAGCCCCAGTAACACCCTTCCTGTCCCCTGTCCTTGCCCTCGGCCAGTGGGGAGGGCTCCGCGTGCTGCCATCCGCCCACCCTGGGGTGTTAGCACAAAGGGACAGAGACCCGCGCTTACAAGGGATGAGGACCTGCATCGGAGCTCCCACCTACTGACATACGGGGCTGGGCCCCAGGCTCGCCGAAGGGGTGCCCACCAGGCTCCACACCACATGGGGAACAAGGAAAGGAAACAGGGCAGGTGTGCCTTCCTGTCTGGACGCAGCAAAGGTAGTTCTGCTCCATGCAGGGCCGGCACTGAGGGATGCAGGGGACACAGCAGTGACCCTGCCACAGTCCCATCCCTGTGGGGCTGACAGCCCAAGAGCGAAAGCACGCCCACACCACACAGTGGGCAGTAAGCACCCCGTGCGGGCAGAGAGCACAACAGTGGGACTCGGGCTCACGCAGACGGGAAAGCAGGGGAGTGGGGCCACGGGCAGCCGCAGCAGGGCAGAGGCCCAGGGCCCAGCCCCTGGGTGTACCAGGGACAGCCGGCAGCATGCAGGCTGAAAGGTCGGTGAGGAGGAGGGAACAGGTCAGCCCACGGCCCCACAGCCTCACCGCCTCACAGACTGTGTGGGGAAGGCCCTGCTCTCCGAGGCCTGATGGGAAGCCGAGGGAGGGTCTAAGCAGAGCCATGTGGTCCAACGACATTCCAAAGGGACCCCTCAGGCTGCTCGGTTAGGCTCTCACTGGGGGCGCCAACAGATGCGGGGCCCCCTGTTGGAGCTGCTCTGGGATCTAAGAAGTGGGGCCCTTGGGAGAAGGGGCTGGGCCTGCGTGCCCCATACACATGGTGCCGTGATGTAGGGACAGATGGGGCACGCGGGGCCGAGGGGGAGGCAGGCGGCTGGTCTGGGGACCCAGGAATCTGGACACACCAGAGCCGGGGAGGGCCTGGAAACTGGAATTGGGATGCCCCAACAGGCAGCAGGGTCAGGCAGACAGGGAGGATTCTGAGTAGGAAGCCAGGTTTGGGGGGTCACCAGCCAGGGGTGAACACAGGGCCTATGGGGGCTCAAGCTGCCTGCAGACCTCGGGGGCACTGAGGGTTCAGGTGTTCTCTTTTTCTTTTTTTAAGATTTTTATTTATTCTTGAGAGAGAAAAAGACAGAAACAGAGAGCATTAACCGGGGGGGGGGGAGGTGCAGTGGGAGAGGGAGAAGCAGGCTCCCCCGAGCAGGGAGCCCGACGCGGGGCTCGATCCCAGGACCCCGAGATCATGACCTGAGCCAAAGGCAGTCGCTTCACCGACGAGCCACCCAGTCGCCCCAAAACAGAGAAGCAGGCTCCCCCGAGCAGGGAGCCCGACGCGGGGCTCGATCCCAGGACCCCGAGATCATGACCTGAGCCAAAGGCAGTCGCTTCACCGACGGAGCCCCCCAGGCGCCCCTGTGTGTGTTCTGTGACGGAGTCAGGGTGGGATGGGGCCTTAGCCCCGTGTCCCCGATGCCTGCAGGTGGGGAGACCACGTGCTCACGTGTGTGTGCACAGAGTTTCAGCATAAAGCCTGTTTCTCACTGGGGGGCTGGGCCCAGGTGTGGGACACTGCCCTAGCTCAAAACACACCCGCCTGCCCAGGCCCACGGCCCCCCTGGCTCCCGGGTGGCACCCCCAGCCTCCTGGCCAGAAGAGCACGCTCTGCCCAAGCTCATCCTTTGAGCCCCATTAACATCCTGACAGCAGGAAACAGGCCAGGAGCCGCCCAGGCCAAGCGAGGGGATCACCGGGGCAGCCCGCCCACACCCTCCCAACGGCCGGCGGGGACAGCCGCCGGGTTTCGCTCCCTCAGCACAAGGATGAGGGAGTGAGTGGGCAGGGTGGACGGGCACTGGGGTGCCACTCAGGCACCTGGGCAGGGCAGGTGGCCAGGACGCCAGGCCTGGCCACACAGCAGCTGCTGTCTCCCCCAGACGCGGGACTAGAGGCAGAACTGCCCTCTGCCTTGCGGCTCTGTGCAGACGCCCGCTCCCCGGCCTGAAAAGCAGGCCTCCTATGGAAGCCTGAGGTGGACACACGGTGGACAGTCACCCACCGGCCTCCCAGTCACTGGACGTCCTAGAACCCCGGCAGTCCAAGGCCTGGCACGGGGCTCGTCTGCCCTTCCCGCACAGCCCGCGCTGGGGAGCCCCGTCTACACCCGCCCCATCACCGGCTCCGCTAACCAGGGCCTAGGAGGGGCCCCGGAGCCCAGGGAGGCCGGAGCATCACACGGAAGAGAAGGGCTCCTCCCTGAACCGGGTCCCAGAAGTGCGGGGATTTTGCTGTCTTTTCAGGAGCTCTGCATGGAGGGAGCTGAGAGCCCAACACCCGAATACTCCAGCAGGGGTCTGTTTACTCAGGGAGGGGAAGGGAGTTGCTTTTCCTCGTGGTTACCCCACCCCGGGAACGAAAACAGGAGCAAGGCCGGGGGCAGCCTGCCTCCTGTCCTCCGGCTCACACCGGTCCCGAGGCGTGGGGGCCCCGGAGAGCCTCAGGGTGCACAGAGGCGCCCCACCACCCCATGCTCCAGGGCCACGTTCCCGAGCCAGGACACGATCCCACAACGTGAGCGATGACCGGCTCTGACCCCTGGGCCTGCAGATGAGATCCCCAGATTGGCTCCAGCTCTGCGGCTCCAGGCGGAGCTTGTGCCTTTTATTTCTTTGGCAGCTTTCGTGGGCTCAGAACCTTCCTGCGGACCCTTGAGCAGCAGAGCTGCACGCGCCCGCTTACACGGGGGGTTCGCTGGACACGGGACAGCACCATGAACGTGTTCTCTTTCTGATTCCTTCTTCTCGAATTTTGTTTATTTACTTATTCTAGAGAGAGAATGCATGCGCACGTGCATGTGTGTGAGCAGGGGGAGGGGCAGAGAGACCTGACACGGAGCTCGATCCCACGACCCTGAGATCGTGACCCGAGCCGAAACCAGGAATCAGACGCTTAACCGACTGAGCCATCCAGGCGCCCCTCTAATGATTTTCTTAAACATTTTTTCTTTTTAAGATTTTATTCATTTATTTGAGAGAGAGAGAATGAGAGAGAGAGAACACATGAGAAGGGATAGGGTCGGAGGACGAAGCAGACTCCCTGCCAAGCAGGGAGCCCAATGCGGGACTCGATCCAGGGACTCCAGGATCATGACCTGAGCGGAAGGCAGTCGCTTAACCGACTGAGCCACCCAAGCGTCCCAACGTTTTCTTTTCTATAGCTAACTCCATCGTGAGAACGTAACATATAACACACCCGACTTACAAAACATGTTAACTGACTGGTCACGTGATCGGTAAGGCTTCTGGTCAACAACAGTCTATCTACGAGTAGTTAAATTTTGGGTGGAGTCACAACTTGCACGCAGATTTTCAACGGGGAGGGAGGTCGGCGCCTATAACCTCCACGCTGTTCAAGCCTCGAGTGTATTTGGCCCCAATCACTTCACTCGCTCATTGGTTCATTCAGCATCTATTATGGAATGCCCCTGGTGGGCTGCTGGGGGATCTGCAAAGGGCTCCTGGATGCCCCCCCAAAGTACACACTGAGAAAGGGTTGGAGTGACGAGGGATCTCTGCCAGACACACTCACAAGCTCAGGCATGCTGTGCAGTCACCTTCCTGCCAGGACATCCCAACGCTGGATGCTCCGGCCACCCTTGGAGTCTAACTGAACCTCCACGGCAGAGGTGTCCCCGGGGACCCCAGCCATACATTTCTATAAGAGCAACAGGGAAAGGACGAGGGCCCCTGTGTAGGTGGCTGTCGGCAGGACCCACCACACTGGGAGCCCCGGGAGCCTTCCTGCCTGGGTGGCCCCAGGACACTCCCAGCCTGCCTGGACACTAACGGGCATTTTGAGTTACTTTGTGGTCAGAGGTCTGCCTGGCCAGCGAGGAGAAAGGGCAGTGAGACACCTCGTCTCCACCTCGGGGGAATGAGCAGAGTGGCTAACCCATTTCTAGAAAGGCGCTCTGCCAAGGGACTTTGCTCCAGCCTGCTCGTGGGCCCGTGTCCAGGTCTGCTGCTTGCTAGCTCAGGAATCCTGTTCATGCCTCAGCTCTGGTTCCTGGTGATGGCCCCCCTCCAGCACCTTCCTGGCAGGGCGGTCACAAAGAGCAGAGCTTCTCTGCTGA